AAAAAATATGAATGAGGATATAAAAATAAAGGTTTTACCTGTTGCTTTGAAGCTGCCACTACATCAACATCTTTCTTTTGCTTGGGTGCAGCATTATTTGCAGCAGCATAGAGCATTGGACTACTTCCAGCAATGCTATTATTTAGATCAGAAGACTGGATAATAGACATATTACGAAGTCTAAGAGATGGAGAGGTCACTGAACTTTGGTTCATTGGAGATGTCAACATAGGGCGACTCTCTGCTAGAACAGATTTAACAGGAGAGCTTGGCAACAATGGCCCATTAGAGGCCCGGTTCATATCACAGATTGCGACATTAAGATCTGACGAAAAGGACTCTAGTGCTCTCAAAACTTCAGTCACAACTCTATTCCAGTTGTGGGGATGTCCCCCAGGCAGACTGAGGGAAAAAAGTTCAGCTTGCCGAATCGGGTCTCGCTCAGCAACATGGAGTAGATCAAGGTAACCAAGCCGTTGCATAAAGGGAAAAGGTGATGCAAGAACATCATTCAGTGTGAGCTGATCATTGGCTGTACTAGAAATCAAAAAATTGCAGCGCTCTGTAAGAAATACCTGCAAGAAAAAGTTGGGGTGTTAATAAGAATTCCAAGAAAAAAGAATATTTTTCCTGAGCTCAACAAGTAAGAATATTCTCACCTGGAATAGCACTTCTACAATTCGACCTGATAGAATGATGATGGCCGAGTAAAGGAGACAACGAATTGCAAGGAATGGCTTCATCCAAAACAAGACAGAAATGGCTGAGTGTTCATCTGTAGTCACTCCAAGAAATCCAGAGAGATGCTCTCGCAGGTATCCTCCCCAACCCCAGTACAACAAACAGAAGTATGCATATGGCAGAACTGCTTCTTTAAAGGACTGCATCACTAACTGGCCAAGCTTCAACTTTACTTGAGGATATTTAAGTTGTTGAACCATAGGAAACATGACAACACGCACCTCACAAATTTGGCGATGGAAGGTGGTGTAGAGGCCAACCCAAATGCCACAGGCAATTAAGTACAAATTTCTTTCATTAAGACACTTTCCACTGTCTTCAGTAAAAATTTTGGTCTTATCACCCAACAGACCAGAGTAGTATGACACAATCATAGCACCAAATACCATGTTTAAAAAGGCCATCACTAGATTCCTGGGTTGGAACGCACTACAAATAGTGCCAAATCTTGTGCGTATACATGGACTCTCCATCAAAAAATCTTTGCTCATGAGAACACCTTGAGCAAAAGTCATTACTCCCAAAGAGATGAGATAGAACCAGGTTCCAGAAGAATATGCATTTTTGATCCATTGCAAAGGGTGCAGGATGTCAATGTTCATCAACAAGGGAGTGCCTAATAGAACGGCGATTATACACTGTAGTACGATGCTCCAGACAACTGCACGAAGTATGCGGGATACAAATACTTCTCGGGCAAACTTTGCCTTGCTTGAAACTTCACTTGGGGGGCCTGACATGTTTGCCGGTACGGTAAGTACACTTTACCACAATGGCAGGAGAGACCCTAACCTATGTCACAACGAATTGGTCTGTCAAATCTTCATTTCAAAAATCTTCCATCTCACAGCACAGTAATTACAGCGTAAAAAATATTGCTGGTCCAGTCGGAGACTTAATTTGAAAAGGCCACCATTCTGGAGGGATAAAAAAGGTCTTCCACAAAAAGCGCACAACAACTGTTGGACTTCGATTTCGTGCCCCTGTAAATTCGCGCCGCGGCCTCGCAGTGCGGTGCCACACGACAGATATAGGACGAATGATCCTTTGTCTCCCCCCTGCTTTGTGTCCTTTGCGGCTGGTAACCTCTCCTTCCTGCAAGAATTTTCGGTTTGACATCAGAAATATAGGTACAGTCATCTGCTAAAAAGGGTGTATAAGAATGCTCTCTCTTATTTTAAACTTCCCAACTCTGTCAATGAAATAGTTCTTAGTCTCTGGCGACTTAATTAGCACCTGGGCTAGCGATCATATGACAGCTGTCTGTCGTCTGCTTGCACTTCGCAAATTTCTAATTTTATTATATTTTCTTTGTCCTGCAGACTCAGACTACAGATAAAATGGATCAGACAACACTCAAAGACCATCTTCGACGAGGAAAATTAGGATTTATTGGAGCCGGCAAAATGGCTCAAGCCATTGCAGATGGCTTAGTTAGTAAAGGTGTGTGTATTTTGTAAGAACTATGTACACAACTTAATAGGTTTAAATTAAAATAGAAATGCCTTGACAAGAATACTATTTCTCTCCATAGGTTTAATTTCTCCTAGTGCTATTTTTGCTTCTGCTCCTTCTGACAGTAATTTGAAGTCTTGGAGAGACAAACAGATGAACACGACACATTCTAATGGTAATACTCTTTCTCTTTCGTTTTATTACAATAGATAATCAGAACCCAATGTATTTCATTGAAAATTCTAATTACAGATGAAATTGTTAAAAACTGTGGTACTATATTCTTGGCTGTCAAACCACAATATTTGAATGATGCACTTAGTCAAATATCTGCTTCCAAAGAACTCTCAATGGATCGTCTTTTTGTCTCAGTAATTGCGGGTATTTCTACAAAGTCTCTTGAAGAGGTAGGTTTAAATTGTTAAATGCAAGTACACAGTTACTGATATCTGACATTGACATACTGCACTGACTCTAATGTAAGAGCAGAACCAATTACAAGACAATTAGCAATAGCTAAGAAAAAGACTCTTCTCAAACCCCTTCAAAATGTGGACCATTCATGATTCAATCATTCACTAATTCACTTCTGTAACTAATTCATAGATTGTCTGTAGACTGATCCCATCATCCCGAGTTATAAGAGTAATGCCAAACACCCCGATGCTTGTTGGATCTGGGTGCTCAGGTAATTTTAACATCTTGATGACATATTTTGAGGAATGAATTGGACGTGATTTTTATAATTGCAACTCACTTTGCCTCTCTTATTTTTGCCCAAATTTAAACAGTTTTCTGTGCAGGAAGCACTACTATCAAACAAGATATTCTTCTTGTGAATGCAATGTTGTCTGAGCTTGGTTTGTGTGTAGAGGTAAAGGAAAGTTTGATTGGTCCCGCTGGGGCTCTTTCTGGGTGTGGGCCAGCTTTTGTATGTATGATTTCACTTAATAGTTTCCTTGTGTTTTGATACATGGTCCTTTTTAGTCCAGTAATTTTTGGAATTTGTATTTCTTAGATGTACTTACTAATAGAGGGCTTAGCTGATGGTGGTGTAAAGATGGGAGTACCGCGAGATCTCGCTCAACTCCTTGCTGCTCATACTATGGCAGGTGCAGCTCAAATGGTTCTGCAGACAGGACGCCATCCAGGTCAGCTCAAAGATGAGGTTTGCTCACCAGGGGGAAGTACCATTGCAGGTGTCAGAGCATTAGAAGACCGCGCCGTCAGGTATGTATTCAGCAAGGCCCTCTGTAACTTGTCTCTGGTAACAATATTGGTAACTTCAATGCAAATTTTGATTGAATTTCCAGATCTGCAATGATGGCTGCAGTGGAAGCAGCTACACTTAGAAGCGCAGAACTTGGGAATAAGTAATTGGTACTATTCCAGCTTGCAAAAGTTTTCAATACCAGTCCCTTGGACACCTGATGTTGACTTAAAGGTTTTACTTTCTGTACATTACATTCCAACAATTACTTCTTATCAGAGAATCTCACCAGCAAGATTTTTATCACTTATAATGTATTGATGTGTGTTCCAAATTCAATGACAATAAATCTCACATTTCAGATCTGATTTATGTAGAATTATGACTGAGTTTGTTGGGGATGAAAAAACATCTATAGATATCTAAAAGATCATAGTGGTAGAATGCATAATTCATTCTAAAAAAAACTGATTGCACAAACACAACGTACAAGTGATTTTATTTAACTAGATAGACATGCTCTCTGGTTTATTTAGTTTTCAAGCGCACCTCAATAGACGTGAAAACTTTTGAATGTAATCGAACTGTGTAACATTATTTTCAGAACATGGTAATTTACGAAAATTTCCACAGTAAAATCACTTAGTTGTGAGCCAATTTAAAGTCTAAAACTCTTTGAGCTTGAAGTATTACGAAATAACTGAGTTCATAAAAACAAATTTCTAACCACATTCATACTTCCCTTTCTAGAAGTTTAATATAGAAGACTGTCATACTCCAGCCATTCAACATGCAATTGTACCTGACTTATGAAAATTAAGTACCATCACAAATAACAAAATTAAATGGCAGATATAATACAAGACTAAACTGTGAAGGAGCAGAGTAATGCTGTAGATTGAGTAGTCTTTTAACTTATTAGTTGGACACTTAATTCAAAATTAGGATGGTCAGAGCAGGAATATGATACAAATTGCGTAAAACTAACCAACTCACTCAGTAAGAAATACAAGTTATTGTGACTGCACACGTTCAAAGACAGTCTTCAATTGGTTTCAAAGAATTTGTTCACAAGTACCTTGAACCAAATTAGACAGAAAAAACACTTGTTAGTTTAACAAATAATTTTGTTGGTGAAGCCGTAAAAGGAAGACATATTTTAGCCACCAATTATTGCCTACAGAATCAATTTTGAAGATATCAAAGAGTGGCAATACAATAAATAAATTTAAAAAAAAGTTGAAAAAAAAACGTACCAGCGGGACACAACACATAACATGGAATTAATGAAATTCTCAGTCAAAAATTTGATTGCTGTGATACTGAACCTTCATGGTACTCACTATTTACTAAACCCAAGAAACTGAAAATAAAACAGAGGGAACTGCAGAAATATAAGAAATTCATTAGACTAGGAACAAAAATCAATTACAAATAAATACAACAATATTCAGCTCTTAGAAATATGTTATACTTTCAGAACAAAAGAACAATAAAAAAACGCTGAGCCCCTTGGAAAAGAGCAAGCAGCACACCTTCATGATGAAAATGCACAGAACTAAATTACTATATGCTTAGAATACATTTAAAAATATTAAAAGCTCTCTGGTACTCCTACTTGGGCATAGCACAAAAAAAAAAGAAGAAAAAAATCTCCAAAATGGAGTAATGTCAGATGCACATCTAGCACTAGTACAAAAATAGAACTATAAATAACATTGTTCAAAATCATCAGCATGTAATTAACATCTGAACAATTTTTGTGATATGAGCATTTTGAATGACACTTTTGCTCATCTGAAAATCACAATATTCATAGTCTGAGTCTGATGATTCAGATTCATTCTAGATTGATTTATGAGTCCAGGCAGTGAAAAATTTCAAAACAACAAGTACTACTTTCAAATTTGTATGAGAATGTTGCTTTGCTGATTGATTAGCCAAAGAAAAATTAATCTAAATTTGTAATAAATTCGCTATGCATCAATACGTTTAAAAATTTGATGGGATGATTAGATTTACAGTTATGGAAAGAAGACATCACAAACAGTACATCATATATGAATTAATAGTTCAAGTAACAATCTCTCTATAATAAAGTGGCTAATAATAATAGTAATAATAATAACAACTGGGTTTAGATGGTGTTAAGGACAAAGCTCATACTTAATGTAGGCCACCTCAGATAAGGGTGAATGGTCACGATATGGCAGGTCTTTGTGCAAGGAGCGCTACTATCACAGCTTGCTGAGAACACTGCAAGTCAGAGGGTAGACCCTCCACCAATCCACACACAGCAAATAAGTCTTAGAATAAAGGACAATGAATTATTCTTTTCTTATAAACGTTCGTCCCCTGAAATGGAAAAGGGTTATTAGTGAAATTTAGTCAGCACACATACGCAGTAAATAAGCCGCTAATTCTTTAGCAAGATTTTGCATGGCTAAAAGCCAAATTTAGTACAAATCAAGTTTTGCACAAATATAGAAAGGAGTGTAACTTACGTTATTGTTTTCTTCTCCACATTTTTGGGTTCCGGTCGTGCTCTGTTGAGAACCTTCAGGAAGTCTGATGTCTTTGCCCTCATTCGAGAATGAATATAAGCCTTTGAGCATTTAATGTGGTAATGAAGGTAATCTCTGAACATATGAATCAAATTAATGGTGTTATCTCTGGTTGTCCTGTTTGTATGCCTTGGAAACAGAACTGTAAACAGAAAAATATTAGTCAATGTGTGGCCCAGAAGATTTTGATAAAAATTGCACAAAAGAAAAAGAAAGGAGCTTAGAATAAAATGTTGCAATGCAAAGTTCAGCTACTTACCAAATGTAATGTACCCAATATTTTCTCCAACCCTTGCACCAGAGTTAGCAAGTTCCATAGGAGGTTCCCGATGACTGAATAATACTTGAGGCGCGGTGTGACTTGCTTTACGGCCTTCTTTAAACTCTTGCATGAATACCGTGCCAATTACCACATCTGACTTGTCCTTAAAAATAGTACTGAAAACAACAGTCACTCTGTCTGCTTTGGCTTCCACATACCTGGAATAGATAAATTGGTATTACAATTAGTTGACAGAGAATGCTTAATTCTTTTTCCAAAAATGAATGTAGTCCACTAGACTCACATAGTCTCATCATTTCTGTAATTGATAACAGCTGTTTTGTGTCCTTCTTCTCCAAGCTCTTGGAATTCAAAATATTTCTCAAATACTGAAGCAAAACAATTTCTTTTCAACAGTCCAATCTTTTTGACCATATCTTCCCAATCTTGAGGAATATTTTCTAGGTCCACAAGAACAGATACATTATATCCTGAAATCAGTTGGGCAGCTCAATGTTACTAACAATGGAAAAGTGATCAAAGTTCAAATTCGTCATTTGCTTTTCAGTACCTCCTGGTACAGTATATGTAAAATTATCATCATAGGATAGGAATGACTTACCATCTTCAGGTTCTGTTAAGAGAGAACCATATTCTCTTTTAAGTAATTCATCAGCCCCGTGCTCTTGGAGTTGTTTGTAAAACTTGAGAGAAATGCTAACCTGAATGTTCAGAAATCAAAATATTTAATATTGAGATTCTGTAGAAGTAACGGTCAGCATCTGTGAAGTAAGAGGCAAGACCCTACCATAAAGTAATACTTACCCTTACTTTACTCTTGTCACCGCCTACATTGGTGATATGAAAAAGAACACCATCGAAGTCTGCAGCAAGAATTTCAGTTGATTCTTGTTTGTGCCTTAATAAAACAAAGAACAGAACATTAAGAAGTAGTTCAAATTTTGACAGAAGGTGGAGGTAAGTAACATTAATTTCATGTAGTGGCAAAAATGCAGAGGAAAGTAGATCAAAGAAAATTTAAGGTAATTGGAAGCGCACAAGGCAATTTCGGAGATCGGAAAATCCATAAAAACAAATCTTACGAAAAAGATGCCGAACTGTGACCTCTAACCTTATCTCTTCACTGACGGGCTAAGAAATAACCTTATCTTAACTAATGTTTGAATAATAGAAATCCGAAGCGACAGGTGACAGCTCTGGGAAAAGTGAAGTGTTCACTATGAGGAGGCAAAGAGTTGGATATTCTGATAGAAAGGACACCCATTTTGCCACACTTGACAGCATTAAAAGGCGTAAACAATATGACGCAAAGTCACCATAGCCTACACTTCCTGGTGCTCCACCCTTTCGGCTTGACATGTTACAAAGATTGCAAACTGGGAGGCCCTTCCATACGTACCCCGCTAAAGCATTTCTTATTTTCAATGTAAGCGTTTCTTCCACTATTCTGTTATTTATCTCGAGAAGAATCATTTTGAACAAGAAACATAGGTTTCGCACGAATACAAATGGGCGAGTCCACTGCTGCTGACCGCTGACACACTCCCGTAGCGGCTTCTTCTTCCCGCTGTTCTTCTTAGGTACGTGGTCATGCGGGCCGACCGGCGTTCGTGTGGAAATTTGAGAGCGGGTCGAATTTCTTCATATTGTCATTTCTTTTGGTTTTGTTGTAATTATTTCAGATGAAGTCATGACTTTTTACTTTAATTGTTTCTATTTAAAGGCCTGTAACGAGGCCGTCTGCTCGTGTCGGCGTACTCCCCCACCCCACCCCGGGCCATTTTCATTCGAATTTGGTATGTACTGAACTGAACTGAACCCCGTGCACATCTTATGATATCAACGGAATACTATGCAACTGTTAGATCATTATTCTCAGGTACGTCGATACTGAATCTTTCCACGTAGATTTTATCAACTGCTTCAGAAGCATGAGGTTTATCAAACCTCTAGTCCACGAACAAGCAAACATGGTAATTCCCTTTGCTATTAACAGGCCCAAGACACTATCCTGCTGTCAGTCAAATCAAGCAATCAATGTACAGAGTGGTTTTGAGAATCGGTGCAACTACATGCATGGTGGTGTATTTGGCATATGAAGAAATATAATACAAGAAAAAAAAATGCAAGTTACTAAAATAAATTATATTTTGAAAAGTGGTGAATTATCCCAATAGCCATATGATGGTTCAACACATTACACTAGTGTGTTATCGCTTCAGGTCTCCTAGATCTTCAATAAAATCTTCATCAATCTATGTAATCGGGAGAAGAGAAACGAAGAAACATCAAAATTTGTTCAATTGTTCAAATTGTTCAAAAAGAAATTTCAAATGATACAAACCTCTGGCCACTTTTCAGGAATAAAATCAAATAAATCATCCTTAACATCTCCCTGTATAACAATTTCGTCATCACCCGTTACAGATGAACCACAAGCAAACTTTGTTCCAAAACATTTTGCTGCAACCTTCAAATCAATGTCTGGAAAGAAAGAATACCTTTAAAACTTGAAATTAACAAAATTACTAGATCTCAGAAAGGGGGAAAGAAGCGCCTTACCAAAAGTGCTGAGACCAGTAACAACTGTGACAGATTTCTTCTTGCCTCTGGGAGCTCTAGATATGGTTACTTGTTTAGGTGTGTCATCTTTTTTCTTGGCCTTCATCATTCCTTTGCCACCGCGCTTCTGCCTCTTCTTGTCATCATCATTGCCCCCTCCATCAGCCCCATCATCTCCTTCACCTGATAAAAGATTGGCATGAGCAGAACAGGCTAAACCTCACAGTAAATACTCAAAACTGTGCGTTCATGTAACATACCGAGCTTTACCATCTTCTCAAATTCTGCAGGAAGATTCTTTTCCAACCAGTGCTTACACTTTTCATATTCAGGATAATATTCACAGTACTGAAAAAAATAAGGATATGCCTTCTGAATTTACGCACAGCAAAGGAGAGGTTGCAGAAGAGATATACAATCGTATGGCATAAGCCATCTACACTGAATAAGCTTACCTCTATGGGCATTGAACAGTTACCACAGTACAGCACACTTAAAGGGTACTTGACACCTGGTTGTGGCCCAGCTGCCAAAGTAGCTGTGTCTTCTCCATCAGCCATGTCCGTTGGTAATACTGACTTCACTGTACCTAAAACCTAAGTGCACACGGGTGGAAAATTATTTTCAATATCTGCTATGTTACAAGAAAAATTTTCCATCAAGCAAGAAACTAATCTTCGGATATGGACTCGTCATAACAAGTCACGGGCAGCCGGCTGTAGAAATCAGTTACGGTTTTGGAGGTTAGAGACAAGCGAAAACGTCATATTACTAGTAAATGTGATCTGGTTGTCCTCGCAGATATCAAAATGACAAAGGACTACATGAAATAATCAATCTAAAACCATCTGTCGAAGAATAACCTTAAAAGAAATTCTAAAACTAACCTAAAGAAGACTGGATGAATGGTAGAAGCAGTAGGCAGCTCCTCGACCATTTAATGAGTGTGGTCGAAAACGGTCAGAAGTTGTTGCACTTCGAAGCCTTCGAAGAGTGTGCGTGTGAAAGAGAGAGGTGGAAGAGAGAGGCCGGACGAGTTGGCGTCGTTGGGCGTCATCTCACAATTTTCAATGAAACTTTAGATTAATTTACGTTTAAAAGATGGATAACTCTGATATAATGGATGTGTGTCGCCTTTGTCTAGATAAAGATGGGGTTACAATACCCATATTTGAAGGAGAAGGTGCAGAACGGGAGATATGTTCGAAAATTGGATCCTGTCTTCCTGTGAAGGTAAGATTGCTTTTGTCAGTATAGTTCCTGCGTAAATCCTTTTCTGTGAAAGAGAAAACGTGCCATCGTTTTTACTACATTTTTGTGCCTAAAATGTTTTCCTAGTTTCAACCGTAATTAGACAATTTGTAGTAAGGATTCTAGACTTAACGCACAATATAAGGGGATAACTTGGTTATGCAACTTACCTTTACTTCTGTTTCTATTGATCCTATTAAAATAAAGGTCTTTTTATTTCTCTTTTTTGTGAAGTCTGACCCCTTGTTACTTCTTGAGTAACTGGATATAACGGGGACATTGAAAAAGGCTCATTCCCACTGCTCAACTGGTGTGTGTGTATGTGTGTGTACATGTGTATGTGTGTGTGTGTGTGTGTGTGTGTGTATTGTGCAGTGCTTGGTGCTTGATTCATTTGCATTCGGTTTACTTGCCCCTATTCTATCAAAGGGTTGTTCTTGAAACGACCTGACTTAGAATCAAAGGTTTTCATTTTCAGTACGTTTGACTTGCCTCCTTTTTTCTTCTGTATCTTAGTACTTAATATTTGTTGTGTTCCAACAGTTTTCGACAACTCATAGAAATTAATTTTGCATGCTTTAAATGTCCTTCAGCATTTATATTTCTAGTCAACTTGTCAATTTTAATCCTTTGATATTATTTACTTCATTTTCAGGTCTCTAGCGATGATCCTCTCCCAAAGAAAATTTGTGATGATTGTACTCATAAAGTGGAACTTGTCTATTCCTTTTGGAACACAACGACGAACTCGGAAAAACAATTATTGGAATGGTTGGGCTTATGTGAACCCAACCATGAAACCCCTATGGATTTGTTAAAGACTGAAATGGTGAGTTTTTCAAATGTTACTGCCAGTATTTTGAACAATTTTCAGTGCTTCTGACTTATAGTTTCTACATTGTCTATTCTTGTTTCTCAACAGGTTATACTTAAAGGAGAACACGGCGCTGATCTAAGTCACATGGATCTTGTAGAGGATTCCCAAGATTTGCTTGATCAGAGTGGTGACACAGCAGAGGGTAGTGAGGAGGAGGGTGGCAGGGAAGAAGATCCAGGTGGAGGTGACTATCGCTATGAAGAGGGGACATCAAATGATCCCTCATCTTTGGATGTCCCACATCCTGAGCCGTTACCTGAAGCTGGTCCATCGAGAGTATTGCAACAATCTCAACAGCCAAGTCAGCCTCCTGCCCAACAGATACCAGCATCACAATCCACACCAGAGCAGCTGACTCCAGAAATAAACCCTATAAGGTAAGATTTCCCCACCTTTTTAATTCACTAACTCAAGACTACGATATTTCTTGGAACAGTGTGTGTTATGAATACTAGGTGTACGATGACACTTAAATGTTAACCTTCTTAGTCAAATCAGCTGATAACCATCTTTAAGATTATTATTTGAAATAAACACTGTTCCATAATATCTAGCATGAGTGGAAAATAAATTTTGGTTGTCTTTCAATCATTTAGTATACTAGTGATAATGTTACCATCTTAGTGTTGTTGTTTTTTTCCCATAAAGATGTCTTGCCATTTTTCTTCACAAAAGCTGAAGTGTGATGATAAGACATTTGATACAATTGAAATTTATTTTCCTTAACTCACTTTTTGGAGAAGAAAACTTAATTTTTGGTGGATTAGTCTTATGATATTTCTTTCATATACATCTGGTTGGTGGTTGCAGTGTTCACTTTTGTTTCACTTGTATATGCTTTTTTTCTTCTCCTTTACAATGATTTTGCTTTGATTTGTGGTGTTCTAATGTATTTTTATTTATAATTCACGGAATATTTATGTGGTGGGTGCTGGCACAGACTGTTGGGGAAGGTTCCGGTGTTTACTAAGTTCTGAATTTTGAGGAACTTTTGAGTTTTTAGTTTTTGTGTGTGATAAGTTATATTCACCTATTACAAGGCATGATATTTTCATTCCTGATGATTGTTTGGTTTTCATTTTAGTGGAAGATGGCTGCTGTATAACAATGCACAAGTAATTCCTGTTTTTTGAATGGGGGAAATTAGCACACTGTAGGACAACCTATTATGAGAGAACATCTACACACCAGGGGTCTATGATTCAACACAAGTTTAAACATCTTGACATGTATGAAAGTTTGTCCCCATTAAGTCCCTGTGATGTGCTTATTTTCAACTGACTACTCAAACTATTGTCCCTGAAGATCTATGATGAAGAAAATGAAGAAAATACTTGCCATAAACTTGGCCTGATCATTGATACTGTATGCCATTGGGAGAAAAGAAGCCCTAAAATCATCACATCAAGAACTGGAAAGATTACAGACATACTGTTACATGCAGTGTCTTGCAGTCAGTCGATTATCAGTCGAGAGCTCTGCCTGGATGCCATCAATTTCTCAGCATTTGAGTGGGCCTACCTGAAGCAAATACATTTTATCAATTATATTTAATTACTTTTTACAGAAATACTGTTGTCTTCATCATCATGTGTGTGATTCAACAATACCAGTAGAAGAAAATGTAATCTGAAATGATAAAAGTTTTTCAAGGAATCAAGAAGATTTTGTTTTAGTTGCCACATGTATGGCTGCTCTAATTGTGTATTATTTTTCAAAGGATTAATAAGGACTAGTGGTATTTTAATTTATGTTTTTGAAAGTATATGTGGAAAGCAACCTGAAAAATTTTCTTTTGATGTAATCTCACATGTATTCTGATTCGTATATGTTTCTTAATCATTGAAAACTTAAAGCTACCATAAGATAAGAAAGTCTCATACAGCTTCTCATGGTCCCTTCTTTTCTCTTTATCTATAACAGGTTTTTCATAAAGCTTATAACTGTCCTCTAACCATTTTGGAGTATACTCTATTCATTGGTCTCAAACTCAGAATTGTATGATAAATGATCTATCATCAACCTATGCCACACAGATATATACTAAAATCTTCAAAATATTTTGTGCTATTGTTAAATTATGCCATATCAATGAAAATGCAAAACTCATGATCATTTTTAAAAAACGTATTTTAATCTAATCTAACTGTAGACGTGACAGTAGTATGTCAGCTCCTAATTGCACCGTCAAGCGTACCCAATAGTTTGCCTGCGCAGCAGCCCACCTTGTGTAAAGTCTGATTTAGTTTGACTTTAGAAATCTCTTCTTTGCAGATACTGTGACTCCAATGAGAATGGTGGGAAGAGGGAGGAAGTTCCCTCCAAGGCTCAGAAAGAAGTGTGTGATGTTTGTGGGAAAAAGTATGTTGCAAGTTTCATGATTGTGCATAAGCGGACCCACACAAGTGAAAAACCCCTTGATTGTCCTGTTTGTGGTACATCATTTGTAAATTACAAAGCTCTGCGCAGTCATATGGTGAGCCACTCAGATTATAGACCTTTTTCATGTGAGATTTGTGATCGAAAATTCAAACGGAATAATGAACTAAACATGCATATGAAAATTCATTCTGGTGAGAAGGCTTACCGCTGTGATCTTTGTGACTATTCTTGTGTACAGAAATCTAATCTAGTAATCCATAAAAAACGTCACAGTAATGAATATAGGTTCATGTGTGATATTTGTGACAAAGGCTGCTACACTACTCAAGAATTACAAAAACATAAGATGACCCACATGGATATTGCTTTTAAATGCAAGATCTGCAACAAAGAATTCCATCATAAATATGGTTTAACAATGCATGAGAAAAAGCATGATCCTAACTATGAACCTCCTGTTGGACAGTATAAATGTGAACTATGCGGAAAGAGCTATGTTAAGTATGGTGGTTTAAAGGTTCATATGAGGAAACATACTGGTGTGAGACCTTATACTTGTGATGTATGTGGCAAATCTGTTTCAAGTAGAGCTATCTTGGAAGTTCATAAACGTACTCATACAGGAGAGAAACCACATATATGTGAAGTTTGTGGCAAAATGTTCACCTCTAAGAGATACCTTGAAACTCACATTAGGACACATACGGGAGAAAAACCCTTTAAGTGTAATGAGTGTGGGAAGTGCTTTACACAGCACTCCACTCTTCTTGTTCATAATAGATATCATACTGGTAAACGCCCTTATGAGTGTCCTATATGCGGGAAAGGGTTTGTACTCCGTTGTCAGCTTAAGTCACATCAGAAAATGGTGAAGCACCACTACACAGAATCCCACATGGAGGTTGAGGAAATTCTTGAAGAGCCAGAAGATCTTAATGAAGTTGCCCAAGCTTCATTGAGAGATGCCGATGTTGCTGATGCAGATGTGATCATAGCTTCAACACATGATACATCAAGTATTGTCATTTCGAGTTATGAAGACATGCAAATAGGAGAAAAAATAATGTTTTCTTGTCCTTCTTGTAAAACTACCTTTACAGACAAGAATCTTTTACTTGATCACCGGAAAGGTTCTTGTGGATTAAATGATATCCTAAAAGCTGAACCTTCAACTGATTCTGATTGATGATTTGTAATTGTCAAAGCTTGCTATTTATGTAAAATCTATATTACTTTTCAACCTTTTTGCATCCTTGCTTGAAAATGATCATTGTTTTTATTGAATACATGTTCTGCGCATGTCTCAATTTTGGTGATATCAATTGAATATATTTTTAAAATCTCTATTACAACACTGTTAACTGTATGGAAGGTCTTGTACACAACATTTCACTTCTCGTAGGGGCTCTCTAATTATTTTTTTTAAATACAATTTATAGTACCAATTATGATAGAAGATGAAAGGGAATTGACTAGCCTACTTTTCCTTGTATGTATCATGTTGTCTGAGTGTTTTGTTATTTTTCATCCCAGAAGGGATTTAACTTTGGAATTTAATGATAAATGAACATTGTTCAAAATATATGTTTTGAAAGGTCTCACTGAAGCAGTTCAGGAAGGGTATTGCAAGTGTTCCATTGTTAACAAGGAAAGTATAATTTAAGCGTACACTTGATCCTCCTCGATGTGTGTTTAATGTTACTTTTTTTCCTGAGACCCACTAGCTAAATATCTATCTGACTTGTAATCCATTTAATATTCGTGAAGGGATTGAGTTCAAGTCGTTTGCGTTTCTTTCCAGACCTACAGCTGGCTCTGGACCTTCAGGTGAAAGACTCAGGTGTGAAATCTGTCATATCCAGGTCACAACCACTGAGATGGAAGATCACCTTCAGAAGTTACATTCTAAAGCTAGGAGTTTCTTATGCAACATTTGCAATATTTATTTTAACAACAAATCAGCTCTAATTCGTCATAGAAATATTCATAATTCACCAAGTTTGAAGTGTGAGTTGTGTGGAGCCTTGTTTACTTATCCATATCAGTTGCGAAGACATGCTAGAGGACACAGAACAAAATTTCATTTGTGTCAGTCCTGTGATAAAACCTTCACCTCTAAAGATAGTTTGAAACAACATGTAATACGTGAGCACAAATCATACATTTGTGATGTATGCAAGAAATCATTTAAAATTTATTCAGACTACAAAGTTCACTTAAAGTTACATTTAAACATAAAAATACATACATGTGATGAATGTAGCCATGCATTTGCTAGAAAATCTTCTTTGAAGTCTCATCTGAATAGACATCACAAAACTTATAAATTTATTTGTGGCGTTTGTGGGAAAGGGTTTTATGTTGCTTCTGAATTTAGTGCTCACAATTTGATTCACACTGGCGATAGTCCTCACAATTGTTCAACTTGTGGCAAGTCATACAGCCGTAAAAGTGCGTTAATTGCTCATGTTAAATCTCACATGCCAGATTACAAAGCAAGACCACCCACTCATCAATGTGAATCATGTGGGAAACTTTGTCATAGTATCACTGCTCTCTTGGAGCACCTTCGAATCCATACTGGAATCAGCAAGTACAATTGTTCTATTTGTCAAAAGTCTCTTAGCAACAAAGTTGCTCTTGAATGTCACATAAGAACGCATAGTGGGGAAAAGCCATTTATTTGTGAAATATGCGGCAAGGCATTCATTTCTAGAAAGAATTTAACCATACATACAAGAGTTCACACTGGCGAGAAGCCATACAGCTGTTCTGACTGTGGAAAATGTTTTTCTCAGCGAAGCACAATGACTCAACATCAAAAGAAATCAGTTTGTAGTCCTATATTGCATTGCTCGGTGTGTCACATTAAATTTAAATCTATTGATGAACTTAAAAACCATCAAGCAAGTGAGAGGCATTTTTCTGCTCCAGATACTAAGACTTCACTTGTTCATTCAAGCATTTCTGATGCTTTGCTGTCAGGGACAGGAAATTGACTGTTCATCATCTACCTCATATCTGCAACCTTTATTTCATTGTTGTAAGTTGGTGTTTTCCCTGTAATTTAAGGCCTGTGAGTCCAAATATTTATTTTCCTATATGTGACGCTGATGGAAACCATCTGTAATTACATTTGTCTGATATTGTACACCAATCTGTTATTGGAAAGGAGACAAAATAAACCAGCTTATGTTCAAAGTTTGTTTTTACTATTAATGAAAAAGTAAAGTCAAGTTGTTTTTTTAAATCTTACTGTACAAAAACCCAAACTACCAGACATACCAGGTACACCATGCCCTCCAGTGGGACGCTACACTTCAATACAAGAAATTGGTAAGACCCCTAACTAGCAGTCAGGACTTGTTCTCCGCATGCCCCTTCGCCTATCTACTTTCCTCTCTGCTTTAGTAAGGTGATGGACTTGTTTAGTACAGTATGTAGGGAATGCCCCACGGGACCTGATGTGTGTGAGCACCCACCCACGTGTACCAGCCCCGTCATGTGACCACTACCCGTGCCTTGTTGTAGGTCAATCCTCACTGAGAAGGCCAACCGCATCGCCGCCATGCTCAAGGCGGCTGCTGCATCGGGTTCCTTGAGCCGTGCCACCCGGACATTCCCTTGCCCCGACTGCGACCTGATCCTGCCCAGTCGTCAGCGGCTCAACCAGCACTGGAAGGTGCACCACGAGACGCCGCAGCTGAACCCAGTGTCCCCGCGGCCCAAGCCGCAGCCCATCGACGAGGAGGAGCTAGAGGGTGAGCGCGCTGCGGCGGTAGCGGCCGCCGTCAAGGTGGAGGTGCACTCGGGGAGTGAGGACGAAATATTGAACGTGCCGCAGGCGGTGTTTGAATGTGCCCAGTGCCACAAAGAGTTCAGCAGCGAAAAGTCGCTTAAAGTGCACCAAGTGGTACACTCGGAGGAGCGCCCCTACACGTGCAACGTGTGCTTCAAGTCGTACAAGCGCCCGTATGAGATGAAGATGCACCAGCGCAAGCACACGGAGCAGAAGAACCTGCAGTGCAACGAGTGCGACTACTCGACCATCTACAAGTCGGCGCTCAACACGCACAAGCGGCGCCACAACCAAGAGTTCAAGTACCACTGCGAGATTTGTGGCAAGGGTTTCTTCGTCCACACCTGGTTACTGGAGCACAAAAACTTCCATACTGGTGAGAAGCCCTTTCAGTGCGACGTGTGCGGCAAGGCCTTCCCCTACACGCGCTATCTGGCCGCCCACAAAAAAACCATCCACCCCGACAGCAACCAGCCTGCCAAGATCAACCAATGCGCCACGTGCGGCAAAGTGTTCGCACACCGAAACTCGCTCTCCCTCCACATGAAGTCCCACACGGGCGAAAACGTGTACGTCTGTGATATATGTGGCAAGACGCTGACCAACAAGGAGCACCTAAACCTTCACCGTCGTATACACACGGGCGAGAAGCCCCACGCGTGCTCCTACTGCGGCAAAGCATTCAGCAAGCCCGGCAACCTGACGCTTCACGAGCGGGTGCATACCGGCGAACGGCCCTACACCTGCGACACCTGCGGCAAGTCGTTCTCGCAGCGATCCACGCTCGTGATCCACAAGCGCTACCACACTGGGCAACGGCCTTACGAATGCCCGCACTGCCAGAAGGGCTTTGTCTGCAAAGCTCTGCTCAATTCTCACCTCAAGAACAGCTGTTATACAGCGGGCTGACAAATTTAAGGGGATTTCAAGTTACTCTTTTTCTTTAACGATGGTAGAAGAAAGAGTGAATTAACTTTTGTGTATTTTTGCAAAGCAGTTGTTTTGTCGTTGTTGTTGTTGTTGTATTTTTTGACAACTGATACCCTCACAGGGACTCAATTTCATTTACTGACCATCGAGACTGACATTTTCCTTGAAAGTTATGGTAGACTAGTGCAGGTAAAATTCATTTTTTGATAGATTTTTCCTGTTTGATAGTTGTGTGTTAAGTATCAGACAATAAACTTTAAAAGAGAGAAAAAAAAAGATGTGGGACCTTATTGATGGACTGAGTTGTGCCTGTGTTTGGGATGAAGGAATGAACGTCAGGATTTCAAGCCATTAGTTTTTGAATAAATTTGTGCTAAGCTAGAATTTTGAGACTTTAGGCACGGTATTCTAGTTACATATTTTCCAATCTATTTTTATGTAAACTGAAAGAGTATATTTATGTTGTTGTCAGTTTTAAGTTCAAACTGTTCTGTTGACACTGCCAAGCAACGTCATGTTTATGATTAACAATGTGCAATTGATTATACCTTAACACCCTTTTGTTGGTTTAAGGTGTTACCATAGTTTATCTAAAATGTACTGTGTGAAGAATGTACTACAGATGTAAGCATTTATTTATGTTCAGAGGTTTTATATATATATGTATACTGCTATTGAATTGTGGACCCGATCATTCACTCTGTTTTTAAGATTCAGTTTCTGTGTAGTCTCAGTGATTTTGCACTGTAAATCAAATTCTAATCTTTGCAATCGTCTCACATAATTTACCATTTTAAGTTTGAAACAAGTTGTTACACGTGCTCTTTGGTTATTACAGGTAATCTGAAAAGTAAAGGAACAACCAAAATAGCTCCGCAATTTAGATTTAGTTTACTGGGTAAAAAAAAAACTCATCAAAAGTAGTGTAATATTTTTCTCTTCCCTTTGAATGTTCTTTTCTATCAGCTTTAAGAACAGTTTTCCCAGGGATTAATAAATGTAGATTATTGATGGAGTTTCATTTTTTTTTAATGAAGTAATATAATTGAAGCAACCTCTACCTCAAACAAGTTTCTATTTTCCTGTAAGGGTTGAAATTTAAACATATAAAATTTGCAAAATTACAAAATCTATACCAAACAATTTGGTACTTGTGTTTAATAATAAATGTTCTTGTTACATCACTTTTACGCCTTAAGATAGCTTGTTTTGTTGGTTTGAAATTATTTCTTTTTAAATGTTCAGACCACTTTGTTTGTTTGTGCACTGTTAGTTGCAAATTATAAATGTCATTGTTGTGCAGATATATATATCCTACGCTAGTTACAAATTGGAGAGCTCTATAGAAAGTTAAAATTGTTTTTCTAATTACAGTACCTTAGGTTAAAAGTGTTTCTTTCTTCTTGTACTTCAGACTCATGTGCCTTTTTCATACACCGAGTTCTTGAGACTCCATTAACTACAGTTGATGTCATTGAAGTTTTTATCTCTTACTTTGTATTGATTATCATAATATATTTTATGTTGAAAATTCTAAAGTAATATGTACATTTAATTCAGTTTATGGTGCTTTTTTCATCTCTGGAAAGTTAATAAACAGTGAAGTATGCACTAACTTATCTGAGTTTAAGAGTGCATGTCTCCTATTATTCCACACCTCTACTCGTATCTGTTCATTATAATGGTTCAATTAGTTAACGCTCGCCTCTATTTTAGCCATTTTACATGTAGTAATGTGACCAGACAACTTTCTGACTGGCTGCTTTAACGGGGAAGTGGCTGGCCAAGTGGGTGGAGGCGAAGCAAGGGAGGAGGGAAGAACTGGAAGAACCACACCAAGAGAGGACCACAAGCACAAGGTGGCTGGTGGCTTCAAGATTGGGCGGGGGCGGGGAAGAAGCGAGGCTACATTGCCACTTTTGGGAACGAGCGCGTTAGTGTTTGGCTCGCTTATTATTAGTAGTACCAATGATTTTTTTTACGTCTGGTCAATACTGTTATTTCTTACGTCTTACGTCCAAATCTCCTCCAGAAAATTCACTTTGAACAAGTCTTTAGACGCGACTTTCTCGCGCGACACTTGCCTGCTCCAGATTTACGTACTTACGATCCTTACCAACCACACAGGACAGCATCACGAGAGTTGCCAGTTGTCTACCATTCATACCGTAATCTAGAGCAGCTGAGCGGCAGCGGGCGGGGTGTTGAAAAGGGGGCGATGAGTTAGGTTAAGCTGTTAAGCTTTACTTTTAGTCGTTGTTGTAGAAATCGCCTGTGTGCCTAGGCGAGGGCCAAGAAATGATGTCTGGAGAAACAGCAGTCCTAGAGGTCGATAAACCGTCTCCTGTGGGAAATGGCAGTAGGTCATCAGATCTGTCAAACGGCAGCACATCATTTGAGGGATCGGTGGTAAGTTTTTATCATTTTACACCTCATGACAGGGACTTCCACGTCAGAACCCTGGATGAGCGTTTCTTTTTACGGTTGTGCGCAAGGGTACCCGTCAGTGTCTTCACAGCTCCTTGCTAATAAGGCCTACTAGAACGCTTCAGCACACACTGCCTTTGAGCTCTAACCTGCTTAAACAACAACTGTCAAAATGTTCAGGAAATCCATTGTAAGCATCGGTCCATAAAATTATGTTATTACTTCTAAGAAAATAATTTTTAACATTTTGTTTTAGATTGCATCTCCATCTATTGAAAGCTTCTCGACCCTTCCTGACCAAGAGGACCTGGAGTTCAACATTGATGTGGACGCAGGTGACTTACAAGTCCGTGTCGATAATCCTCAGAAGCATTTCGACACTCTTGAGACTTATGTTTCATTCAGAATATGCACGAGGGTCAACATGGTTTGTTGAAAATGCACAACACACACATTCCTTCTAGGTTGAATATAACTTGATTACCTTGGTTCAATTCTTGTTTTTCTGTAGGAGGTACGAATAGAATTTAAAGAGAGTGAATACATAGTGCGCCGTCGCTATAATGATTTTGTTTGGCTCCGGCAGAAGTTAATTGAAGCATTTCCTACTCATTTGGTTCCTGTAAGCTGTCTAAATTTACCAGTATCTTTCTAATTTTTACATGTTATTGTCACCCTAATCCTCTGTGTCCGTTTATTACTTCAGCCTTTGCCTGGGAAACATACTCTATTGGCTCAACTTGATCGCTATTCCAAAAGTTTCGTTTTGGCTCGCCTTGCCATGCTTCACCGTTTCTTAACTAGAGTTGTTTCTCACCCAGTTCTCAGCTATAATAGCAGCTTGTATGTTTTTCTCACTGCTACTCCATCTGTAAGTCTTTTCTTTATTTCTGGTTTGATACTGCACCTCTTACTATTGTAATTTCTGTATTACACTTTGTTTTAGGAATTCCTCATACACCGAAAAAATGGACCAGGCATTTTAGGCCGTGTGACAGATTCTCTCCAAAATTTGACCACTACTTATTTGGTACGGCAACGTTCACCTGAGTTTGACTCTGTAAGGGACTATGTCAATACATTTGGAGAAAAACTTAATCAGATGGAGAAAGTGGGGCGTAGATTACACAAGGAACGCCAAGGTAAAAATGTTAGCTATATGCATTATTACTTTGAGGATTATTATGCGTGGTTGTTCAACTGCTGCATTACAATTATTTGATATTCCTAGCATATCAGGGTGAGCTGAACCAATTTCAACAAACTTTTTCACTCTGGGCAACTTCTGAACCAGAGTTAAGTCCTCTCCTTAAAGCAATTTCTTCAGCTATTGAGAGAAATTTACAAGCTCAGCAAACTTCTCTTATTGATCTATTTTCACCTAGTTTTGAACAGGTATTCCTTTATTTATTATTAGGTTGGTCTTTACTTAAATGCAAATGGTAAACAAATTATAATTTTCAGCCACTGAAGGAATACTTGCTGTATGTGGATGCTGTGAAAGAAACTCTTCAGAGAAGAGATGCAGTGCAGATTGAGTATGAGATTGCTGTTGATGAATTAAATAAGAAAAGGAATGAAAAGGAACAGGTATTGCTGTTCATGTTTACATTTTGGAATGCCCTTATATATTCTTGACCATTTATATTTTGGTAATCTTCTGTCTGATAGCTTGTTAACAATGAGGGGTTGTCTAGTGGAGCGGGAAGTGCTTTTAGTCTATGGAAAAATCCAGCTGAGGCACGTGATGAAAAGATAGAAAAGTTAAGCCAACTTATTCCTAATTTGGTTCGACAAGCTGAGGAAAATCAAGATAAAATGCAGTGTGCCAATGAAAATCTACTTTCAGATTTAGAACGTTGGCATATTGAGAAGAAGAAAGACATTCGTGGACTGCTTTTGAATATGGCAAGCCAACAAATTCAATTCTACCAAGATGTAAGTGTTTTTTCCTCTCCAGCAATAACACTTGAATTTGATAAGTTGCTCATTTTACATTCTTTCCAATCCAGGTTTTAGCATCTTGGGAACAGGTTATTCCTGAAGTGAGATGCAATAATCAGACAGCAGCATCTGGCACTGTAGATAGCATTCCTAGCTCTACAAGTATGCAAACATCCACTCAAAGTTCAACAACTCATGTCATTTAAATCGTCATTCAGTGAAAAAATTTGCTGGTGAGTTAAAGTAGAAATGTTATCAGTTACTAACCGACACTTTTATCCAGTAATTTGGCTATTTGTTTTTGGTTGACCTTGTCAAATATGAAGTTGTATGTTAAAAATAAGAATCTCTATGCCAGACATCTCTTTACTCTCATGACTACTTGAAATTTGTCCTGTGATTACCTATACATTCCACCTGTACCAAAACTGTTGAATTCTAACTCAACTCGTTTATAATAGTATTCCTAAAAGTTGAAAAGTATCTGTATTTTTTTAACATTTGCTCCTACGTTTGAAAGTTGCTGTAAATTTTGCAACCTTAGTATGATGGTGAAGCTTTTTTGTAAATAAGCCAACCAGGTCGGTGACTGTTATTCAGTCTTTCGGTATGTTTTGTTGTTGTGAGTGGTGCAGGTGTTTACTGAAACACTATCAGTATTAATGTTAATTTGAGTTTAATATATTTTATGATTGTTAATTTTGTGTGTTCAGTGTGCCCCCTTGAGTTTAGAGTATTGCTGTACTCTGGACTAACACTTTTTTCTGGATTGCTGATTGCTTAACTCATATTTTATCTCAATTGTTACCCCCATTTGAAATCAAATATTTTTTGTATTGCAGTTTGTTTTTGGTTTTGTTTCTTTGTTATTGCTACTATGTGATATTGTACTATTTGATGCTTAAAAATAAAAGCGATTGTTGTAAAATGTGATATTTTTTTAATCATGATTTCTTAATCACCTGTTCTCACCATTACACATGTGGTTTTTCACCATTGATACATGAGAAAGAGTAGCTGCTTCAAATGGATTTGTAAGTAGTGGATAGTGCAAAATATTGAACTAATGAGTGGGGAGAGTTTATGTAGATAATCCTGCTGTTAACTTTATTCAAATTAATTAAGTCTTGAATTTCAAGTGGTTGCATTCACATTCATAGGTATTGTGGATAGATCAAGAAATTCACTTTTTACATAAAGTTAGAAGCTTGGTGGTAAATACAATTTTGTGTAAACAAGTTTGTACCGGAGTTCCAGGCATCTTCATCCTTTGAGGTTTTCCCATTCGGCTCTTTGATAAACAGGAAGATATCATTCCAACACAAACTAAAGCAAACATTAGCAGTCAAATGATTTTATTCTTTTTTCTACACTTGATGCTTGTCATAGTTGGAACGATGTATGTATGTATGTAGTTACTTCTTACTTAAACTTTAACTGACTAACAGCAATAAATGACATTCATATGACAGTATGAAAAAAGCCTGTGAGAATATACTACCTCAGTCTGAATTATGCAGTCTCAGGTATAGGTCACAACAGAAATTATGTTGTGGTCTGCACCTGAAATCACAGATAACTGTGTCCAGCATCAATTGTTATGCCATCATGTGAGTGGCCCGGACAAAAAGCAGTAAATATTTTCCTTACAGTCTCAATTCATACTGTGTAAAAGAAATAAATCACACTCTTAACACACCACAATTTTCAATTTGAAAGAAACACCCAAACCAGTAATGAGCATGTAATCCAAAATATAACTTTTTAGAGAATGGATTAATGTAAAACATTATTTTTGATCAAAATTTCTTAGAGAAAGAAACAGCCTTCCTCATTATCAATTGAGTAAAATTCAAAAACAAAAATTGAAAGAAAGCTAGGAGCTTCCAGTCTGATAAGAAGTCATAATGACTAAGGGTGTGCCTTACAAGAGAAAAATATGGTGGTAAGAACAAATTCACCTGTTAAAGTTACAAATCACACAACATTAACCTAAATAACTTACTAGAAGATCAGTTTGATAATGAATGACTTCATTCATTATTTTGTATTGCAAATCACTCAAATCTCCTTACTGCGTTGAGTTCAGCAAGGAGTAACTTCACAGATCATGACCTTATACGAACAATATCACTGAATCCGTCAGTACATTTCACTAGCAAGTGAAAATAAATACCATACACACAGGAAAAATATACATCTATTAGCATACCCTTTGAGCAAGCTCCAGCTACATTGCTTTCACACGAATAGAAAGATCTATCTGTACAAAGACTGAAATTTTCCATTACTTCAAAAGAAGTAAGATTACATGGTAATAAAACTGTCTTTACTTCATATAATTAAACAATCAGCATCTTGAATAGTTCATCAGTTAATTGGTAATAGGTAAATAGAAACTTCCAGAGAGCAAATCTTGGTAACTGACAATTTTTCTCTGCATGTTATACTGTTTTCATTTAATTACAAGACTACATATTTGAATAAATGTTGGTAAAATTAAGGGAGTAGTCGGTTGAGTTTAAATTTTATGGGTGCTAGGGAACCATAGTTTACAAACTGCAATTTGAACAAGTAATTAACAAAGCAGTGCCAATATAAAACAAAGAAAAAAATTATTGCAAATATTTGTGGGTAAAATGAAATAAAATGTCTGTGTAAGACTCAATAATACATTGAGTGTAACGACTGCCAAAATAAGGGGCACCTACCGTATTTATATGAATACAAGACGCCCATATCACAGTCCCTTTTCAGCTCTTGAAGCCTTCTGATTTTGTTGAGGCAAAATGCAAAGTGGAAAGCCCGGATATGCATGGAAGCACAGTCCACTATGAGGCTAACAGAAGAAAATTGCCACAGCAAAAACTGAGGGAAAAATTTACAAAGCAACACTGTGTTTCATATTCATGTAGACACAGTATTTACAAGGTGGAAAAGAGCACAAATCTCAAAAGTTAAAGCACTGTGCTAATATACTTGGGCAATTTTCATATGGTTTTCAAATGGTTCTTAAAGATCTCTTGGTTAATGGAATTTAAAACAGTGAAGCTTGCACATTAATAAAAACAAACATACTTACTCATTTTGACGTTCTTACAAGTAGCCACACAAAAATTATTACTGAATATTGCAGCATACTAACTACTACAAGACCTGAACTATTTTTCAACATTTTCAACACAAAAGATGACTTTTGTATATACTGGTAACATAATGATTTTGTTTTAAAAAATATTATCTTAGAATTCAAAAGCGTAATCACAAACCAAAGCATTCATGTCAATATTGTTCCACTTCCAATGACTCCATATAAAAATAAAGAGCAGCTTGAGCCAGTTTTTACCCACTAATTGTTTTACAGGGTCTTAGACACACAGATACCTTTTTTAAATGGTGCTCATGGTAACCAACCCTGCTTACCATGTAATCTGCATTCATGAACACCTGGTTTAGAATTCAGAAATAGCTAAGCCAGAGCCACTGGTCTTGAGTAGCACCTCTACTCAACATTGAAGTTAATATCACAGAAAACATGAGAGATTCATGTTGTATCCGCAATGTAAAAAATATCCCGCAACATTTATAGCATGATTTTTAGCACTAGAACCACAACTCATGACAAAGTCCTTCAGTAATGATAAAACACAATAATTACAGTATGCAAATAGAAAGAAAACTGTGTTCCTAGCCTGAAAATTCATTTTTTTGTTTTTTGTTAGAGTGCTTTCATGGAAAGAAATTCTTGTTAAATATTTGACGTATTTTCATGGAAAAAGATATTTGACATACAGTACATATTTGGTTTTAATAGGCTTTACTTAGAAGGTAAGGACTAAAATATACGGAATTGGCTTTCAAATTAATAGGACCGACTGGTTGACCAGTCAAGAGCAGTTCATGAATCTTAAAATTGATTTGGGGAAAGAGGGATGGGGGGGGGGGGAGAACCAAATATATTGGTTAATTAAGGGGGTCTCAATAAATACATATATACATGTGACACAAAAAACAGTCAAATGAAAAACTGTGCGCACTAAAGCACATCTACAAGCAACAAAAACTAGCAAAAACATTCATCAGTACATGTTCATGACATAAACTTAATACCACAAAAAGAAAATATTTAGAAAATCCTACTTGAAGAGGAAAGTTAGATACTGCATTCATTATTTTTCTTCATCAGACAACATGTTTGTAATAAGCTACAGGTTACAGACAAGACTCTCAAAAGACCATAAAACTTAAAATAAAGAACAAACATAAAACCTGCAGGTCTCCAGCCGGAGAGTCTTACTATTAAACATGGAAGATTTTCAGTGCTTGAAGGGACAAATTTCTAAACTTAATATCACGGATTGGCGCAGCCTGAGTCTTCATATTAAAATACAATTGTACATATAATATATATATACATACACCTAAAGAAACTAAAGCCTTAGTCACAGGAAATAAAAGACTGCTGAGCATAAAGTTGAATTACAGCACAAAAGAAATGCCGCTTTCATCATGCTTTATTTCTTCTAATGATTTTCCTGGATAGGAAGGAGAAAGATGAATAATGTTACTTTTCATAGGTCAATATGGATATGAAAGAAAATTTGATCTTCCTAAATCTGTTAATCACTAACCTTTGAGAAAGGAATCATTAGACATCACTGTAACAGGTGGTTGATTTGCACCCCAACAATTCCAAACACCCTCATTACGTAATTCCTGAGCTTCTTTTCTAGCTGGATTCCAATCATCACCAGCTTGCTCTGGGCTACTTGGGGCAAACTGAATATCTCGGTAATCAGGCAGTTCTGCTTCATCCTGAGGTGTTTCAAGCCTCTCAAGATGTCCAGCTCTCTCCACTCGACACATACTAGTGCTCATATTCCAAACAAACAAGCAGCTTGTTTGATACTGTTGCCGATCATTTGTAAGCCTACAGAAAATAGGTTCTGAGAATTAGAATTTAATTTATCCTGACAAATGTCCCTGTGGTACAAAACGTACAAAAGAAAAATCAAAGAGTCTTTTAAAATTAAAAATGTGCTGGAACTTGCCGTTTATTTTTTGGAACACCTTTAGATTTTAGAGTGGCTTTGATTTTCATGTAAGCCAGGCATATGACATCAGCTGATTGTGGACATACCTAGATCAAACAATAGAAAATCCCACTTATGAATCATACTTGGAACACAAATTACAGTGCAGAAGTGGATGAAAAGGAAGTAAACTTACATCCACAATTTCAACATCATAGTTGTTACAATACCAAAATTTCATTCCAGCTCTCTCACATAACACTTCCGCAACTTCATGACAAAATTGCTCAATGTCAAAACTCATCTGATGAACCAAAGCACAAGGTGCCATCTAAAAAATTGAAAAACATATACAGTAGATTTAAAATCCTCTCTAAGGATTAGAGCAGAACTGAATAGTTGGACATTACTTACAAGTTTTTCAGCCTTCGCATTTGAAATCATTTGCATTTGGACATAACCTGTGCCATGAACTTCTAAAGGAAGGGCACTGTGGAAGCCCGTTGATCCACTCTCATCGTCATCTACATTGATGGAATAAAAGAATATTGTTTCATCAAAAACAGATTAAAAAATGTTGTTAGTAATACCAAAATTATGTGTAACAAATTTTACTCACCCTCAATATCAGTTATAACAGAAACAAGTTCATCATCAACTTCAATAAAACGACGTTCAAACTGTACAGTACATCCTGCTTTGGACCAGAATATTTTACTATCTAATTTCTCTTTCTCAGAATCACTCAGTGATCGTTTTGTTGAATCTTTATGCTTAGGATTATCGCAAAATTTTGCAATATTTAAGGTCTTGGAGAGATCCATGGTTTTGTTTACATCTTGGCTTTTAGATGAATCTAGAGCTTTTGATGCAAGAGAATTCAATTTAGAGGACCCAGCATTCTTTGAAAAATCTGTGCTTACAGAAAGGTCAACCATTTTTTTGGAATCTGAACTCTTAGAGTTATCAATACACTTTGAAGACAGTGCATTTTTAGTGCTATCACTAATTTTGGCTGACATTGAAGTTTTAGAGATATCTGAAGCATGAAGAGCAACTGCGGTTGGAATGTTGAGTATACTCTCAAAGCCAATACTATCACTCTTTTCAGGACCTAATCTCATAAGTGGTGACGGTGGTGGTGGTGGGGACAAGAGTGATTGAGGCAAACCTAATACAACAAACATTACTTATGAGAAAAGGCATTTTAACGTAAACATTTAGACTACAAAGCTGTGGAAATAATGAACTCACTCAATGATGAATTATCGGCATGAGGGGCAATAGACTTCTTATTAACATCACGTTGAAGATCCTGCTCTCTGGGTGAGAGCAAAGAATTATTGCGATTATGAGGTCGAAGAACAACTTTGTCAGGTTCAATATTAAGGTCGATGAATATCGATCCAGGAGAGTAAGTCCCAGATGTTTCACCATTAAGTGGACCACTTCCAGTCTTTGCGAAGCTTTTCCAACGAAGATTACAAGGTCCATCAGGAGGGTCACCAATCTGGAAGAATAGTGGTGATTTAAAATCAAATTCCTAGTACTGTAAGAGAAAATATGACTTAAGGAAAAGAATTGAAGGATACAACTCACCGAAGAAGTGCTTCGATTAGCATTGCGATCCTTATTGGAAAATGCTAATGGAGAGGGGGGTAGAGGGTAAGTTGGAGAGGGCATAATTGACACCTCTGAATGTCTACTAAGGCGAAATGGCACAATATTCTCCGAGTCTTCTGTATCCTCTTCACTGAACTCATACTTCTTATCTGCTAGACGCCTTTTTCTAAAGGAGCTTAAGCTTTCATAGATTCTTTCATCCTTTTGTTCATTGAAATCATAGGCTTTTTCAGCTTTGCTGCTCAATCGTCCTTGTTGACTTCTTGCTGGTAAAATAGAATGGGCTGAACAACACAAAAATTAAGTTCGTAATGCACTAAACTAAATGAAAGACAGGTGTGTTCAGGACATTACATACCCCTACGTCGAAGTGGTGGACTCATAATGGCTGAGCGCTGACTGCTCGCATCACTGTCTGTTTCTAATGTTAATGAATCAGTTCTACAGCATAAATTCTGGGTGGTGGAGACTCCAACATAGCCCTGTAACAGAATAGTACATCTTGTCTGAAAGACCTCATCAGCAGTAAGATACGTTAAATTGCTTGCCACAAGTAAAACAGAACAGTTTAAGCGGAATGGAAAAAGATAATACCTGCGAAATAATGCTGAGCTCTTCCACTATACTAGGGTTGTCACCAACATGATCAGGAGATGCAGCTACAGGTGAAGAAGGGTCCAGTCCAATAAGTGCATGGTTTTGATATTCACTTAAACGAACATTCAAATTTGATGATGTAAGTGATCGGGAGCGGAAAATGAACTGTTCCCTGTGGAGTTACGACAGGAGTCACAATAAGGGCTCATGAGATAACCAAAGAAAAACTGATCAAAAATAGGAGAGAAAAAAGGAAATTTCACTTACGATTGCAAATGACAAGTATCAGTTGATTGTTTCCGAGAAGATTTTGCATCAAAAACATTTTCTAATCCTACCCTAATGACATGCAGAAAATTGCCAGAATTTAGCACCACCTAAAAGGAATTCATGGTACAATAGTAGCATCAGAATAAAATTTATATGTAACTCCAAAAATATGAGAGGCAATACTTACCCGCCCTGTGCTCTTCATACTTGTGGTAGCTACAAACTTTGGGTACGGTGGAGCCATGTCAAATGAGGTATGAACTGTTAAACCATGAACTAAACAGTTCAATCTAGCACAACTATCCCAACTTGCAGCAATATCTTAAAGGAATGAAAAAAACATAGTGAAATGCATGACATTACATTTAAATACATTTTTCAGCATGTTATGTTTACATAAATGTAAAAAAAAAAAAAAAAAGAAGACTGACCTTCTTCCTCAAATGAAGCTGCTACTTTTTGACACTCTTGACAGTTCTGCAAAGATGGAACTGCAGTAACTGTGACATAAGACCTAATATTTTGAGTGACGAGGCCATTATTAGACTCATTACTGAAAGATAAACAAGAAATGGATTATGATTGTAACAAGCAAAATCATTAAATTCATAGTCTCATCCCTATAATATTACTAACCTTCGTCCAAAGACAACAATTTTACTAGAATCTTTGGGCCACTGACAGTAAGCCAGATAAAGAGGTGTATACACGTTATAATTTCCAAACAGTGTCACTTCAGCAACCTTTCGAGCTTCAGCATAAGGAACAAATGCCCACCAGTGCAATCGGTACTTAAAAATTGTATTGAAAGAAATTGGTCGATCATCAAAATCTGTCGTGTATGTGTATGTTATGAGTAACTGACCACATGATGATATACCAAGAAATATATGGCTGTAAAAGACAAGTAATAATAGATCAGAGAATTTGGAAAAACATATAAGAATTAGGGGTCCATGATTATTAATGTATACTTTGATACAGGCCAATACACCAAATATATATAAAGTAGAGATATTTTGATTTTTTCAGAGAAAAACAATACATTTCCAACAGAAAGGTGATGTTCTTAATCACGGGTTATGTTCTGAACAATAATGATGTGATACATCACACCTACTTTAAAATATGGTCTTAGATCCACATTCAATTAACAGACCTATGAATTGCTGTTGGAAGAGTCTTCTTTAAGGGAAACTTCAATCGAGCAGGTGGAGTAGGAAATGTTGGTCTCAGTTCAGAAAAACCAACCTGAAATAAAATGCATTAGCAATTTAATAATATAGAAACAAAAAGAAGATCAAGTCAGATATCAACAGAAAATTAGACAGATTATTACAAAACTGTGTCAGGTTTAGATTATTGTTTAAAATTATAAATGAGTATGAAATGGATGACAATTGGCCTAATCACTTAGATTGACACATCACTTCAGCGACATGATTCAAAATTATCATGATTTTGAGAAACAATTCTAAATGAAAGAATAGTTGACCACATGCTTTTTATTCTTCTTTAACATCAAAGAAATTTCAACATTCGCAAAAAGTAAAGAAAACTTCTGTCACAAATGAGGACTGTATCGCACCTCACGACTATACAGCCTCTTCAGGAAATGGTCTGCTTTCTTTGGTCTAGAGCGTCGAGTTTTTTCATCGTCATTAAAATCAGAATCACAGGAGCCACAACTGATAACCGAACTTGTATCAGACATTCTTATTGATGCTCATTCGCAAGATTTGTGAGATCATAGAGAAGGGTTGCTTGCTTGCTTGCTGTTGTTTTCATTTGGGGTCTGGGGGCTAGCGACGCTAGCGCCACATGGTTCGTGTGGTGAGGAAGTTAACTAACACTGTGGCGGCGCGAGGCGCGAGATGTCAAACACACAGTCGGCCTGCATTCTTGTTGTTTTGTGTCGATATGTAGTATTTTAGATGTATGTGGTTGTAGACATACTGTTTCGACTCTATCAAACATAACCAGTCTAGATAGAGAATCAAGAATGATATTTTTCTTGGAAAATTAATCTTGCTTTGAAGTCTTGTCTTTGTTTAGTTAGATACCTTGCGTGGACGACTAACCTGCCCGTGCCTATGCTAGTTATTTCTCTTCGGTCCCAGGTACAGCCTTTTGTATGTTATAGAGATATTATCAGTTGATTGCATTTTCGTTTAATTCTAACACCTCTTCCTATCTCGTAATCCGCCTTTTTTGTTGCTTCTATTAACTAATAATTTTTGTTTAAGTTGCTCGAGCCGCTGCATTTGCTGTTTTAAACATGGAATTTAAACTTCTCGAGCACTGTCAACTGAGTACATCCCAAAAAAAGACTGAAAGAAAAGTATGTTCTTCAGTAGCTGTTTTATCAATAATTCATTTTAAGCCATATTCAATGTTAACATTTTCTTTTCCATGCGACCTGAATAGAGAGGTGTGGTAGGTCTGAAGGATTTACTCTCAGAAAACAGTGCTCTTCAGGTACTCAACAGGAATCAGCCTATAGACCAAGTTAATTGGACAGAGCTTTTCAAATGTGCCCATCGAGCCCTCCTCCTGGTAAGTCTTCCTTTTTACTGTGTTCGAACTTTCTCCACTCTCCACTGCAAGCCATTCATTAATGTACTTGGATTTTTCATTTTTAGGAATCTGAATGTTGGAAAGCTGAAGACCAAAATAAATCTGTCTCCTCTACTGTTATTTCAAATAGAGAGAATGCGAAAAGACTATTCTCTTCACTTGCTGATGTTGTCCTACAAAAAGCAAATGCTTCAAGACCAAATGTTGATTTCTCTGAAATTCTTGAAGCCTGCTTCCGAGTATTCACAGATATATATCTATTGAAAACATGTGGTGAAGTATATCTGGGTATTATGCAAGCAAATGTACTCCCCGTCAGGAAATACAGAAATAGTTTAACATCTAGTGATTGGGATAAGCTGTTCCATTGTGTTCTCAAATTTATGGAATCTGAGAGTGAGTTGAGAGGTAGATTCTTCTACCAGGCCATTGAACTTATGGACAGTGTGGTTACTTATTCCTGGCACCAGAGTCACTTGTGTCTACATGTGAAGGGCAAGTTGTTGCCTCTATTAGAGAGGAAATTCATCAGTTTTTATGAAAACGTCTCCCTCCAAGAAGTAGTGCTGAAATTGGCAGTCAACACTTGTAATTTTGTTGCCAAAGAAAGTCGGACTGGAGTTTGCCATTTTGGAGAGCTAATCTTACCTGTTGTCTTGAAAATGTTCAAACCTAAAGGTGATGATAAAACTTTATCTAGAAGATTGGTTGTAGACTTCTTGCTTATTCAAGTTCAATGCCATCATCCAAATGGAGCAAAACAAGACAGTGGAGCTGCTTATGCCTGTGATTGGAATAAATGGACCCGCTACATGCACGTCATGTATCGCACTGTCATCGACACCATTTCAAAGAGTGAGAGAAACCGTCATGATCCTTTTGCCAAAAATTTCCTAGATCTCTCAGTTGAACTATTCTACCAGCTACTTGATAAAACTAAGCCGGCATATGACATGTCCATAACCATGAATGAAACAGAAGATACAGATGGGGGTCCTGCAGCCAAACGCCGGAAGTGGATGACGAGTACTGAAGAATTATTTGAAGAGCTTCAATCTTGCAAGAGAGATTCTTCTGGATGGCCAGTTCTTGTGCTGGCAATTTTAAAAAAGTATCCCAATATGTTTCAAAGTATTGAGCTGTTGCAGTTGCTTCAAATTATGAGTGAAATCCAATCAAATTGGCAGAATCAAGAGTCATTGAAACATGTTAATATGTGTTGTGAGCAACTAGTAAAGGTTCTTAATCAGAGAGGACTTGGTTCTGATGTTCTGCTGAAAGTGTGGGATACCAGTTTAAGAGCTATAAGTTCAACACAGAGTGAAATTCATCCCCTTCTACAAACCCTTATTTCAGAGAGGTGTGCACCAACATCTGGACTTCAGGCCCTAGTACGAATGTTCCAGCGCCATATTGTTCAATTATCTGATGCAAGCCTAAAAACTTTGTCCGTACTATTGTCTCATCATCACATTCCGGAGAGTCCAGGCTCTGATGAATTTTCATGCGATCCTTGGGACATGCCAATCAGTTCAGCTCGTGTAGTTTTGTTGGATTGGCTATTTTCATATGGCACTGATATCGTTCTTGATCCAAAGCTAGTTGCAAGGGTTCTTGTCAAACTTATCCTAAGAGCAAGAAGTGAGCCTGCATGCCCTGACACAATTTCAGCATCCTCAAGTGATAGCACACCAAAAGATATGTCATTTGAGGAAAATCATTGTGTCAGTGCATTTGAAGATAGACTCCTATTTTTAAATCCTGAAAACTCCTGCCAAAATCATGGAAACTCAAACAGAATATCTCCTTGTGTGGTAGATTTATTTTCCAAAAACAAACTGGAAAATTTGATGCAGAAGAAATATTTGGAAATTGAAAGAAAAATGTCAGAACTTCAAGGGGAGCCTCCTCTGACTACTGCAATGGCTGTTGTGAAATTAAGAGAACAAAAAGTAGTATTGGTTCTGGAAACTATTAGCTACTCCACTCTTGTTGTAAATGTGTTGTCCAACCTATTAGTATTTTCTGCGGTGACAAATGAAACTCTCAAAGATACATCAATTTATGAGTTGCTTACCAAATCAATGAAACACCTCTCAATATTACTTCCTGATGTTTTGAAAGTGGATGCCTCTTGTGTTGGATCTGAAAAACAGTTGAATAATTGCATAAAAGTACTGCAATGCCTCAAGACACTTTACGGAAGTGACTTGATGCCCTGTCTAAATTACCATCTATGTCATCTAACCAACAAATCAATCTTATTGACCTTACTGACATTTTTCACTGCATTGTCAGAAGATGAGCACCAAAATTTAGATCTGCTGAAAAATGAGGTTGAAAAGTTATTTCCTGAGAACCTTTTTATTGGCTACAACTTCACAAACGGAGATAATCTGCAATTCCTTTGTGCTGAGGTACTCACCTCATTTTTCTGCCTCAAACTTGAAGAAAAGTTACATGTCAAGCAAAGTAAATTGATACATAGATTAATTCAAGTTTTGTCAGACAATAATACTTATGATTTGTCAAGGGAATCAACGTTCATTCTGGTAAGTAGTCTTTTCTTCTTTTCTGACCCAATTTTGCAATTTTTTTTATGTCTTATTCTTATCTTAAATTCTTCTGCCCTTTTACAATGTTTAGGTTCATCACTGTTTGTCTTCTGTGTTAAGTTGTGCTTATTTAGAGCCAGAAAGTCACTTACGACCTATCATACATCTATTGAAATATGTCTGTAGCAAGTGGAAACAAGATGCTGTAGCCTCATCTTATAATTTGTGTCTCCTCAGAGGTGATTTAAATTTCATCTGTCAACAACATACTACGTGATATCATGTCTTTGTCCACCTATCTAACTGATAACTCTGAAAGATGTTTTTTAATTGACTGATCAAATTGTTACAGGAGTGTTTAAACATGCTGCTATTGATGATGACAGAAAGTGGGAAAGACAAGCTTCCATAATATTGCTAACCCCTTTCAGAAATATGAAATATGGACCCAAGTTTACCATTGAGTATATTTCTTGCTTTTATGAGTTACTGAAGGTAAAATATAATATTTGTTTTTCTGGAATTACTCTCAGAGCTTTATATACTCTGTTGTTTTTTTGTGTTTCTTTTTTTTCCTAGATTGACAAGGATTCAAATTGGGCCAGATGGAACACATCATTAAACTTGAGTGATGTACTTGAGTCTGATACTATTTCCTCAAAAGCCTCTCGTAAATTTGAAGATGAGAAGGAGAAGACTGCAGTTATTGAAGAGATTGTGTTTCATCTGCTTAGCCCGTTTCATGAAGTCCGTTTAGTGGCAGTGTCAATTGTTTCAAGTTTCTTCTGTGGTCACCATCATAACTCACTTTGGATAGAAACCATGTTTGAAAGATTAACCCTTGTTCTGTTTGAATTGTTTATTGTCAAGGTAGGTTCATGTATTTGTAGATGAAGAAAATTCTGTTTTTATTTGAACCATTTTTTTAAAAAAATGTATCTTTTATAGGCAGATGATATGACTCCTGAAGAAGCGATAGATGAGGGAGCCAATCGCACCTCCACAGTGCTGCATGTTTTAGCCTCAATTGTAGCCTACAGCTCAAAGTGTCAACTATGGGCTCTTCGTCTTATATATTGTATAATGAAAAGAAAAAACTTAGATCAAAGTAAGGTTAACAAATAACATTATATTCAATGATCTATTCAACCTGAAGAGATCTATTAGTTAGTAAAAGAGTGTGTATTTAACAAACCTCATCCATTTTTTCTGGCCTTTATGGTTTTAGATCTAATTAAAAAGGTTTTCAAATTACTTGCAACAACAATGAAACTTCCTAGTATTCAAGGATTTTTGGAGAAATCACTCCCTTTCATTTTGAATGAGTGGTTGCAGTGGGACTATCAACTTCAGGTGTGTTGAATCCAAGTAATCCTTTCATCTGATCATAGATCTTTCAATGATTATCAGAAATAAGAGGTGAAATATATATATTATTACGTTTTGAAATGCTTAATTTTTGTGCAGGATTTTCCCTTCATCCTTTTTAATTTGACTTCATTTCCTGATTTCTTCAACAAATACAAAGGAAGCATTTTACCTATAGTTTTGAAAAGTAAAACCTATTTACCTTTTTTCCAATTTATTTGTCAAGAAATTGGTTGCCCTTCCACTCACCTGCTTGAGGTAATGTTTGATATTTGAAATTTTTTGTACATCCATGAACAGTGAATCCAATAGGTATCTCAAATAATTTTGCCCCTGCAGGAATCATTTCCTTCAGTTTATGCTCAGTACTTGGCATTCTTAGTGAAGAAAACATCTACTTCAGATACCAAAAGCGCCTGCAAGCAATATGAATCAATTTTCTCTCAACTTAATGCTGAGAAGATTAGAAATTTGTTGTCAACCCGCATTGATGAAGTTTTGTTTGAAATTACTAGACTAGTGTGGGATTCTTCTCACCATGAAGACTTGCTTGGGCTTGACCACAGTACAATGGAGCCAATGATTCCTTTTATTTCTAGTGAAGAATATTCAGCTGCTTTCAAACACTTGCAGGTTGAAATACACCAACTTTCATCTTGTGAATAACTGAATTTCAATTACATCCTAACTTACGTCTTTTCTGTTTCTAGAGAACTATTATGACAGAGCAGGAGTTGCTTATCTATTTTGTCAATCAGCAACCCGACATACTTCAAAAGGTTCTATTGCAACTACGTGAAGATATCAGTACTTCAATTACTGTAAACCAAAAAGTGAAGGGTCTCCACAACTATAGTGCTTTTGTTCATGCCATTGCACTCTGTTTGGGAAGAGGTGACTTTCCAAGTCTAGAGGAATTTTTACTCAGCGACATTACTCATACTTTACTCTACTTAATCCAGGAGAACAAATCAAATCCTGTAATGGTCGATGTGTGCATAGGTTCTTGTTGGTAAGATGATGTTTTCCACTTGAGTTGTGCGTGATGGACCATTATACACTTCATATTGATGGTATTTTACATTTGTGCTTCTTGACATTTTCAGCTTTTTATACATTCTCTATCATCACCTACTGCCTGCTTGCTCGTCTGTTTTTATTAATTTACTTCCTACTATTGTTGGAAGTTTGATTCCTCTAGCAGTAGGCTCAGGAGCATTGGCAGAGAAGAGCCATAAACTCTTGAAGCTACTAGTTATAACCCATAGTTCTTGCTTGGGAGATGCTATTGGTTCCCTGCCTCCTTTCCCCGAATCCATGGAATTTGCTGAAATGAGGAAAGTGCATGGTGAAATGAAATATAAAGGAAACAAGTTCTCTCTCAAAGAAGAAATTGAACACTTCTTAAGCTCCTCTAGTTCCACAAACACCTTAGCCAATCAAAACTCAATGTTTGATGGCCTTCATTTCTTAAGGAAGGAGGTAATGCAATACAGAAAAAAGTACACACTGATCTTTTTAATAAAGGAATATGTAATTAAAGCACTATTTACTGCAACTGTAATTGTAAATTACTAATAATTGTATCTATCTATTTTTTTTGAAGCTATGCATAAAAAAGAATGAGTTATTACTTTTATATCAAGATCTAAAACAAGGACGTGGCTTTTCACAAGACTGCAAAGAAAGCATTCTTCATCAGCTAATCTGTAAACTTATTCATATAACATCATCAGCAAACGAAAAAGTTGGGCTTACCCGTTTTCACTTTGTAAGAACAGAGGATTCTTTTTACAAATTATATTATTAGTTTATTTTCTTCTTTGTAGGTACAAATGGAAGCATTACGGTGTTTGGGTGAACTAGGACCAACAGACCTCACAACATTAGTCCTAAAGCCAGTGGAAGGATGTATAAATTTATTAAGTGGATATTCTGACCCAGTGATGTGTGTTATGGCTCTGGCTGGACAGATTTTATCTGATTACCTTCTTGATTATAATATCAATGTTGTAAAAGCTGCCAGTCAAACCCTCCTTAATTTAATGTCATGCCAAAAAGCAAATGCCTTACATAGTGAGTATGGTGTTCCAAAATTCTACTAATGGTTTCAATGTACCTTTTGTTTATAAATTTTTTCTGAACTTTGTATTTTTAGGCACTAAAAGTAACTCAAAGTGTATTGATTCTAAAAAAATCTCACCATTTATACCAATACAACCTACAAAACCTACTCCATCACTCTCGTCAGACACCATCAAACTAGTCAGCTTCATACAGGATGATGAGATTTGGTTCCCAAGTGGTGGAATACAACACGAAAGATGGATCTCACGTTTGGCCTCTTCTTTATTTTGTAGTTTGTCAGACGATGATGTTTTCAATGATTTTGCTTCTCTCTGTGAAGTAAAGGTAATTTGTGACAAGCTGAAGTGTTTTGTTTTTAGCATTAATTGGATTTCTAAAAACTCCTCTATTGATATCACTTTTATCTATCTAGACATCTTTTGCTGAAGAAATGCTCCCAGTTTTGTTTTATTTGGGACTAAATCATTCCATGGAAATTGGACATCAACTATGTGCTCGCCTGGCTCAATTTTTTGAGAACCATTCCAATGCTGTTTCTTTGGCCAATGATACCATAATAACAGAAGCAGGCTAGTAATTTATTTTACCTCAAAGTATTAATTACCTAATTGAACTGCATGTACTGAATGTTCATCAAATACATCTTTTTTTTCCCCTGCCCCTCATTAGATAGTAAAAATATTCTATTGAGCAAACCTTCTGTTCAATGCATGCTTAATGTGGTAAATTTTGTGCGTTTGAAGAAGGATGGAGAAAGGTAATTATACCCTCATAGTATCAACAAACATTTCTGATCTAACTACTGTTAAACTATATGACTATAAAATCAAGAACTTATTCTTTCCAGGAAAAAAAATATGATCTTAAAACTAAATTATTTGCATGTAGCATCAGCAGCTCAATATTGTTCTGCTTACCTCTCATCCATTATGTTTCTTGAATTGTGGTGCAATGACGCAAACAGGTACCTAATACAAAATCTAGAGGAGTTGCCGGGTTATCAGGAAATTATCTGCAAAATTAACATGCACATCAGCACATTTTTATCCCCTTTCATTTATTTGCAGGCTTGAATACGATGGAAGTGGTATTCCGTACATTGATTTCATCTCTGAGTGTGAACCAAGTAATGGGAAAGTTCTACAGAATTTACTCTTGAAGGTTTCTCCTGCTTACTTGTATTCTTTTTCTTGTTACCTCCTAGTTTTAGATTTATTTGTAAGAATTTACCTATCGATTTGTAAAACCATGTTTTCTTATCTTTAGGCATATGAACAGATCGGTGATAATGATGCAATGTACGGTTGCGGTTCTTCTATACTTTTGAATCCAATGGCAAAAGTCAATGAGTATAAACTCACTGGAATGTGGGACAAAGTTCTTCTCAATTATGATGTAAAGTTGTCATGTTCCAAGGGTAAGGATGGAGTTAAGGGTAAGTATTGATTTGGTATTTTAAAACTTGCTAGAAAATGTTTTTCTTGACGTTTCCAGTGAACTTACTATGCACATGTATATCATTATTTTTAGGACTTGTTGATTCTCTTCATAGCAGTCGGCTATACCATATGTTAAATGTCTTTGTTGAGTCTCAGCCACATGATCAGAAAGATGAGTTTCTTTCTGCACAATTTGAGTGTATGTGGCGTTTGGGGCAGTGGAACTCACCCTTGTCTTCAGATACCAAAGTAAAAAAATGGCGTTTAAATTAAAGTGTAGCAAACACTTAACAAATTAAAATAATGATAAAACGTTCAAAAATTTGGAATATATATGAAATTTAATATGCACTTCAACAGGTTAAGGGCTTTGCATGGGGTCAGTACTCTGCATTACAAGCTGTAAGTGATAAAAACTCATCAAGAGTTCACGAATGTATAACTGAAGGAAGGCTATGTGTCTTGGATAATCTGGCCCATTCCAGCTTAGAAAATTGCAAAAATATCTATAAACCTATGAGTCAACTTCAATTGCTTAAGGTAACAGTACAATGGTTCCTCAAGCAATTTTTGCTGACGGTCACCTCATCACATAACATCATGGAAATACAGTAATGAGTACTGTGCCTTTAAATTTTTTCAGTCAAACCAATTTCTTTGTTATCTCAGGAAATTGAAGATTTTGTAAACTCTGATGATTTACTTGGATTGTGGAATAACTGGAAAAATCAGGATACCTTACCACACAGCGACATATTTCTGTTGGAAATCACAAGAGCTCAGAGAGCTACACTCTTACAGATTGCTTTAAAAGAGCAAGAAAACCATCAAACCAGAGTTCCCAAAATGTCCAGCAGTATTTTTCAATATTTGACTGATTACTATTTAGATACTGCTGAACTTGCTCGAAAAGATGGACAGATTCAGGTAATTGAAAAAAAACCAAATCAGACTAGTGCAGTTTTTGTTTTTTTAAAAATTGATCAGCAACCATTACATTATATCTGGAATGCTATCTGGAACGCCAGTGTGTGCGCATAGGTTTGTTCCCAGCTGTTACCATTGGGGCGCTTTGCGTTTTTCAACTCTGTTAGCCAGACTATTTAATGATATGCATGCACGCACACACTCCAGAAATTAATTATTTTTCTCATGAAAACTTTAATTGAATTCCTTCCTTAAATATTTAGATTGCAGAACAATGGCTTCACTCACTTTCTCTTATCCCTGGTATCTCTGAAGATGATACTAGAAAATTACGCCTTCAGGAAGCACAGTTAGCTTGGAGCTCTGTAAAAGGCCTGCGTGATGGAACAAACTTAGTTGCTCGTAACCTACTGCGATCTTTGATAAAGGATGTACAGGTTGCTGAAAAAGGTTAGCGTCCTTGTCTTTGAGTTTTTCTCTAACAAATACTGTCAGGAAAAAATTACCGTTGTTTTTTTGTTTTTTTCACTAGAGTCGAGGAGTAGGTCAAAGTTGCTTCCTCAGGCTTTGATTTTGTATGGGAAATGGATGGCTGAAACTCGATCTGAGAATCCACAGCAAATCATTGATGATTATTTAGAAGAAGCTCTGCAATTGCTGAAAGTCTTGCCTGCGCATAGTTCAGTCCAGGAACAACTTGAAGCACATACCTGTCTCGCACACTTTGCTGACCTTGAGTATCAAAGGGTGAGCATTTTATGAAAGTGATGAGCTTGGTTCAAATTGTTTTAAATCTTACTACAAAATATTTTGTTTCACATGCAGATAACATCCTATATAAAATCCGAGACCTTTCAAAAGAAAGTGAAGTGTATGGAAGCACTTCAAAATGAATCTTCCTTGAAGGTTGAGAAGGGTAACAGAGAACAATCAAGTGCAGTTAATTTTAATAGTAAATATTCTGCACTAGATGCAAGTGAGATCAAGAACACTTATAAAGATCAAGACCAGTTCCTTCAACTTGCCATGAGGTGCAGTATATATTTTTTCTAAATAATGTATGTTTATACTTAATTTAATTCTTTCTTAAGGAAGACTTGTTTTGTTGTATGCCAACAGACACTATCTCAGCAGTATGAAACTTGGAGAAGGAACAAATATTCCTGTATTCAGGATGGTGTCGCTGTGGCTAGAAAATTCCAACAAAACTGAAGTGAACCAATTTGTTAAATCAGAGCTAGATATCATTCAGACATATAAATTTGTTGAGCTTCTTCCTCAGATAGCTGCGCGCCTGGGTTCAACACAGGACACTACTGAAGTAGTCTTTTCAAAAGCTATATACAAGCTCTTGAGTAAGTGCACATAGATTTTTCTCTTTGCGCTGTTCCTCTGTAAGTCTGATATTTGATACTTTATTATTTTATCTTAATAGTGCGATGCTGCATTGAGCACCCTTATCATACCCTTCCACTTATTTTGGCCTTGGCTAATTCATATGAGGATTTTGAGGGAAAAGTCAAACCTGATCCAGAGGTACGTTTTCTGTCCAAATCTTTTTTTTTTTTCTTTTTCAGAGAAACTAACATTTTTTATAATTTAACAATGCTTTCTGGCTTGTTTAGCCAAGGGTTGTTTCTGCTACACGGATGATAGAGGAATTGAGGAGGGATAAATCAGTTGGGAAACTTGTGGCTGAGATGGACAAGCTATCTAAGGCACTTGTTAGTTTGGCATACGTACCAGTGCCTGACCAAGATAACCCCAGAGGTATAGAAACAATAAGTTATTGGTTGAAATTAATTAGAGTTAAAAAACTATGGTTAAAATGAATGGCTTCATATTTTTGATCAACGTAATATATATTCTACAGGTTTTATTGTACCTAAGAATGAAAAGATCCGGCAGATGCAAAATTTGCAGTATGCAATGCTACCTATTGTCCATTTACCTGTACAGTCTGATGCAAAGTACAACAACATAATAAGTATGATACCGTTGTCCTTCAGACATCCTGAAAGTTATAGAACGGCTATTGGCCACCTACATAGTGTTATACTTAAGAATAGAATCTAAATTAATATAGTATTTTCATTATTAATACTTTTCAGGCATCCAAAGCTTTGATAGCAAGTACTTTAAAGCAGGAGGTATCAATAGACCAAAGAAAATTATATGTATTGGATCTGATGGAGTTAAGAGGCTTTTGTTGGTAAAGGTACTGTGTCTTTAAAAGGTAACTAACAATATTTTAAACTTTGTTCATTGTATGTTAATAAACTTGTGCAACACCAGGGAAGAGATGACTTAAGACAAGATGCAGTCATGCAGCAGGTTTTCAACATTGTGAACACCCTACTGCAGGCTCATTCAGAGAGTAAGCGTCGCAGACTGAAGATACGCACCTATAAGGTGAGAAATCCTTGTTTTAAAATGTACTGAAATTTGCATCAGGTTATAATTTTGAGTAATTCTGATTTTTTGAACAAAAAATAGATTGTACCATTATCTCAGAGGTGTGGTGTTCTGGAGTGGTGTCAGAACACATCTCCGGCAATGGAAATTTTCATGGATGTTCATTCACGATATTGCCCCACATCATATAAGAATGCGCTTTGCATGAAGAAAATAGAGGTAAATGATTCTCACAATTTTTGTTAGTTTTGTTTTGTGGTAAAACATCTATTTTGTAATGGTATAGAAACAAAGGAAGAAATCTTTTCTGCCACTTACATTTAACCTTTGTTTTTCAGGACGCCCGTTTAAAATCACCTGGGGAAAGACTAAGTGTATTTAAAGAAATTTGTAAGAATGTCCACCCTGCTTTTCGGTTCTTTTTTATTGAAAACTACTCCACACCTGCTGAGTGGTTTGATCACAGGATGAATTATGTGCACAGGTATGTACGCTTTAATTAATAATTCTTGAAAAAGTACTGCTTGTGATTTGAACATTTAATAGTTATTGTTATTATTGTAATTTTTTAATATTACAGTGTCGCAACAAATTCAATGGTGGGCTATATCCTGGGCTTAGGCGATAGACATCCTAACAATATTCTTATTGACAAAAGCACTGGTGAATTGGTTCATATTGACTTTGGTAAGCAATTGACTAGACAGTAACTTAACATGTCAGGTGCTGCAGGGGCTATTGGGATCCACAGTGTGGGTCACACTTGCTGCATTCAACATCAACATGCTAAGGATTTTCTTATTAAAATAAAATGACTGTGAGTAATAAAAGGAATACTTTTCCAGGTATTGCTTTTGAACAAGGTAAGGTGCTCCCAACACCAGAAACAGTTCCATTCCGTTTGACCAGAGATATTGTGGATGGTATGGGAATCTCAGGAGTGGAAGGTGTTTTTAGGAGGCAAGTTTTATTTAATCTATTCATTTTTTCTTTGAAATTGTTAGATGATTATCCTGTGTGAGTGATACATTTTCTGCGTTAGGTCATGTGAAAAGACAATGGGAGTGCTAAGACAGAACCAAGAAAAGATTTTAACCATTCTTGAAGTGTTACTTTATGATCCATTATATCAGTGGACAATAACTCCAAAGATGGCTGCGAAATGCCAAAAAGAGAACAGTCAGGATTCTATTGCTTCTGACTCGGATGGTTTGTAACTACTCAAAATGTTTTAGGTGTTTTTTTTATATTAGTCCTCAACCTTCATTATTCTATCTTTTACTTATGTTCTCTTCTTATCAGAAAAAGTAAATACATCACAAAAGAATAAAATGGCAGTAAGGGTGCTGTGTCGTCTGAAAGAGAAACTCCAAGGAACTGAGGAAGGTCCAGTCTCGAGCATTGAGGGTCAAGTCAACAGGCTCATACAGCAAGCCAGAGACCTAGGAAATCTTTCAAGATTGTTTAGAGGCTGGCAAGCATATTTTTAGACAGTCAACTTCTGGCCAAAGGATTTAAGACTGATAATGGTATTAGCATTCCATGACAATTTTTTCACAGATGATAATTTCTTCCTGGATAAACCAATTAATCTATATTTGTAATTTAAGGAAATACACTTAATCTGTTCACTAATTTTATTTTATTATGAGCAATTTCGTGACTGTACCCTGAAATTTTTTCTACACTTAGTCAACGTAAGGTTTTTGTCATTAAAATATTTATGTATTTATTTATGTCTCTGCATGTTAATGATTGAGTACAAGTTGCTGGATAAATTCCTGTTGCTCCTGCTCTGTACGAATTAATGATTGATGTTGTATTCGCAACCTCTCTAGCTCTGTTGACTTCTCAAAAATTAAAGCCTGCAATCAGTCATTGTTTAAGTTAAAATGGTATTTTAAATTTAACATCAAACCCATTGTTACAGACTTTCTTACTTGCAATTGCTGTTGCTGAGCCTCCCTCTTTTTGGCCATACTTTTTAGCAAATTTCGTGTTCCAATTGCCTTAAGTTTAGCAGCTTCTACTTCTACTGATAATGAATTGGCCATTACCAGAAAGTTATCGGCAGTTTTCTGAAAATCAGAAATTTCTGCAACAAGAATGTTTTAAGTTAGTACTTCTGGCATATTTTCTCAAATGTAATGTTTGAAATTAGACATATTCTAGCAGACATACTTTCAACAAAATCCTTGCATTCAGTCAGAAGTTCTTCAGTTTGGGAGGAAACATCTGGCTCAAGCACACATATTTTGTTCAGCTCGTCAAAATACAAGCCTGTTTTAGAAAATATTTCGGCCATTTCAGCGAAAGTATTCAAGCTAACTAGATTGGTGCAGAGTCTCAGACCGCCGTGCCGTGCTAGTGGATTGTTTGTTTGTTATGTATTTAAACTCGGCGTCAGCTTAGGAATGCAGACGATGGCGTTTGTCACTTGTTTCCGCGCCATCTAGTGGCCTGTTTGGAACTACAATTGGTTAGTTTCCATGCTAGGACGCTAGAGCGCACCACAGGTACATTGCCCGTGCGTACTACCACGTCGTTCTAGGTGCTTTCTTCTCTTTCCACGGATGTGGGTGAGCACAAGTCTAGAGTTTCACGAAGATTCACTGCGTAGCAGTTCTTTACCCTGGTAATGAAGCCCGCACGCACGCGGTACGGTGGCAGACCCACGCCGCGCACTTTCGTAGATATACTGTACTGCATGCACGGCTGCGGGGGCCCGTGACAGTAGGCGACCCGCCCGCACGCGTGCATGCGGTACGGTATAAATACGAAAGTGCGCGGCGTGAGTCAGCCACCTGGAAGACTTTTCGGGGCCCACTGGGAATGTATGCCACACGTCACAAAACAATCAACGAGAAGTCTATAACTTCACATTTATTCATCGTAAAAAAAAACAACATACAAATATTGGACTTAATAAAATACTTGGTAAATGAAGTATGAATTTGAAATGGTAAGAAAAGAACGACGATGGGAATGTTTGGAAGGTGAATGGTTAACTGACTGGTGATCCGCCCCCTCTCGACTTGCATTCCAACGAAGATCTACACTCCCGCGACTGTGGCGATGAACTGGCGCACGCTCGGGTCCGCAACACGGGTGTACACGCCGGGGAAGCCCTTCCTCGCGCATCCTAGTCCCCAGGACACGATGCCGACCTGCCGCACCTCCTCGCCCACCCTGGTGACGAGCGGGCCGCCAGAGTCGCCCTGGCACGAGTCCTTGCCCAGGTCGGTGGCGCACAGCATGCGCGCCGTCACGCCCCCGTAGTCCTTGTAGGCGCGGGCGCACCCGTCCTGGCTCACCACGTGCAGCTTGACGGCCAGCAGCTGCTGCTCCAGGTCCCAGTTGTTCTCCTACGTAAGGACCAGCGAGAGTTAGACTCTGGGATTAGTAACGCATAAGGAAGGTGTGGACGCCTGCCGTTGCACAACCCTGAACCCTACCTGGGACACTCCCCAGCCGGACGCGGTGACGACGCCGCCGTCAGGGACCGCATCCTCGGCGGCGGCGAGGGCCACGATCCGCTGCGTGTCGCTGAGCTGGAAAGCGCCCTTGATCTCGACGACGCCCACGTCGTAGTCGATGGTCATGGCGTCGTAGTACGGGTGCGCCCTGATGCTGACGACGCCGTACTCCTGGCCGTCGTCCAGAGTCGAGGAGCCGGCCACCAAGCGGCTCGTGTCCGGGCTCACTCTATGCGAAGACAAGGACGTTTGTCTCAGCCTATCGCTGGGGTAGGATAGTAGAAGGGAACCACGGAAGCCTCAAACTCACCCCGAAGCGGCACAGTGTCCGGCGGTGAGTGCGAACCCCTTGCTGATGATGGAGGCCCCGCAGAAGTGGCTGCCGTAGCTCCTAAAGCTCAGCTGGAGACCGGGGAATAAGGAATGTTTAAATCTGTCAATCTCGCCGTGTCCGTAGCTCGCGGTAGCACACGCCATTAACTACCTGGTAGGGGTAGTCGTGGATGTCCGCCGTGTCGCCGCCGACGATGCGGCCGATCCACAGCCTATTGCCGGTCGGCCTCCTCAGGTTTCCGCGGCCAAGGGCTCCGGGAGCGGCCCTACCTGTGGGGAGGCAAAGATGCAGGGTTTTACTGTCAGAGGCGGTCAGTGGGTTCCATCGTGCACCACCGGACCGGGCGGCCGCGGCGCGATCCTCACCGGCGGCGAGGGCGAGCAGCGTGGCCAGGACGCACAGCAGGCTCAGGGGGGACATGGTGGCGGCGGCGAAGGCGGTCCGGTACGCAGAGCAATGTTGCAAAGTGTGAGCGGCGTTCCTGCCACCAGCGCACCAGGGTCAGACTAGACGAGTCGGCACTGACAAGGCGAGCAAACTTGCTGCAGTCCAGCCCGACCCGGCTGGCGACAAGGAGGACACGCTCCCCACCGCCCGCCGCGGCCCTTATAAACAGGAGCACGGCGCGAGCGCAGCGCGTACCTTATCGCAGCCCTGCTCCCTTTCTCCGGCGGATTGCACCGCTCTTCAGATTACCACTCGAGTTCAAGGCGATGCGTGATTGCTGCTGTGCGCGACACGCACGCGTCGTCGTCCCTGAGGAGGCCATCGACGGCACCGACGAATGAAAATGAATAGACGCGAAAATAAGTGCACATTACCTCCCCTCGAACCCCGCTCCCCACG